AATTGACGCGAATCCGATCAAGACTTAGTTAAATTTCTTAAGTCGGAAAATGGTTTGACAAGGCTAAGTTTGGCGACTTTTGTAGAGTAATTGGGTTAATGAGTGGTGGGATATTAGGGCTTGTTTTAGTAGCCTAGCATGCCCTCTTAAGTATTTCACAGGTGGTTTGGCGTTTGAATCAACGATTTGGATTTTTTGGACGCTTTAAAAAGCGTGCGTGGCATGTTTCCGACCGGTTTCATCGACTGGACGCGGTCACCGTGCCTCAGCACTCAGCGTCGCAGCGCCGGCTCGCCCAACGCGCACACACACGCACACTGCCGCGTAGGCTCCACGTTGCTGCTGCCGCGCCTAGGCACGTGATGCACGAGCAGAGCACGCACACGCCCGCGTCGCGCACCGCCGCGTTTGGCGGGTCGCCGAGGGCCGGTTGGCCTGGCCGCTCTGCCCCGCCGCTGTTGTCGCGAGCCCGATATCCTGGCCGGTCCGCTGCCGCCTACCTCGCCGTGTCACCGTCACTGTCTCTGTTTTGCGTCATGTTGCGTCTGCGCTGTGCTGCGCTGTTCCTCTCTGATCGAGTGGATGCCGTCCGCCTATGTTGCTGCGCCGCCGTCCCGTCACCGTGCTACGCCGCGCTGTCACCACCGCGCCACAGCAAGCTGTCGTCGTGTCCGTCTGCGCCTCTGCGTCGTTACCGACTCGACTTCGTGCACGCATGGGCTTGCCGAGGCCACTCGCTTGTCGTTCGCCATTAATGGCGCCACGGCCGCCCTGCCGCGCTATCTCCGCCTGCAGCGTGCACGCTCCTCTCCTGGCTGCGCTGGCTCACAGGGACGTGTGGTCGTCGCGTCCCGCCAAAGCTCGGGCAAGCAGCCGGACCCATCTCCTCTTTCCCCTCCCTCCTCTGTTGCCCGTGCCCGCCAGGCCACGCCATCAATCCATCATGGATAGGTCTCATCCATTCAATTCGGTGCGCCCCCAACTCCGACTTCGAGCATACTAGCCAATCGACCCCGTACCGTGTCCAATCGTGCCTTGGCAAGCTCCAATTTGGAGCCAGACGTCTGTCGTCGTGCCATTAAAGGCTAAGCCGCCGTTGCTGTGGGCATTACCCACCTGGTCCTCCCGAGCCAAATTGGTTGCACCCTTAGCCCCGCCTCGCTGTCCTTCGCGACGTGCGCACCCCACTTGCACTGCTACTGCCTTCCCGGCGCTGCTGACACGGTCGCGCCACCGCAGTCCGTCGCTAAGCTTGCCGTGTGCGCGTGGCCGGACTCACCCGGTCCGTCCCCGGTCAAGCCATCACCACAGGTAGCTTTGGGGTGAGTTGCTTGTGCCCATCCTAAGGTTCCTTCACCTCGATTTTGCCTTCTCACGAGAACACGGCTGCCGCCGCCGTAGGGTGTCCCTCCGTCGTGGAGGGAGCTCCTGGACGCGTCTCCGTTCATCGCTTCACCGCCCACCGCTTCGCGTTTGCATCTAGGTGAGCATCGGCTCCTTAGAGGGGGCGAGGAGGGGCCAGGATGGCTGGTGTGGCGGTCCTGTGCCAGCGCCGCCGCGTCGGTGCGCGTGGGGGTGGCCAGAGGACCCACCCATGGTGAAGAAGTGAAATAGGAGGGGCGTATTTGTAGAAGAGCAGTCTATAGGAATAGTACTGTGGACCTCGGGGTGAATCATCGATAAGTCGGGGGGGTTTTTGCGTAGCGACCGACGCGCGCGGGCCTCCCTGCGTGGGCCGTTGTCGCGCGGTTGGGCCGTGTCCCGCGTGGGCCGCACCGACGGATCGCGCGTGCGCGCGCGCTGCGCATGCGTGGGTCGAGCCACGATGGGCCGCGCTGGGCGGTTTCGCCCTTTTCTTTTCTAAGGAATTAGTTAAAGCTTTTCTAATTTAAATTGTGAACTGATCTTTGATAATTAATATAAAATTATGTAAGTGTCCAAAAATTATGAAGTAAATTTTTTTAGGTTTCTAAATTCATGATCTAGCTTTTAGTGTATTTAGTTCATACAGTTCTGTGGTATCCTTAGGATTACTTTATTTGTTGTAATATGCTTGTTGTTATTATGATTATTTAGAGAATGAATTTTCGTGATGAAATGGTAGAAGTGCTAGCTCTGAAAATTTTACACTAGACCCATAACATTATTAGGCACTCACTGTATTTTTTAGCCTTGGAATATATATTGAGAAATATGGTAGCTAAGTATTCCTTGTTGTAGTATATATATTAAATTGATAATAAGAATAGGAATGCCGTTAGTTGCTAAGATAATACATGCAATGTTTCATACGTTTAGTGATAATAATAGGTAACTTAGCGTCTTAGTCGGTAGAACTAGCTTAGTAGCTTGATAGATGTATTCTTATTTTAAGAGTTGCTGCTGCCGTATTATTAAGTGTTGCATCATCATTTCATACATGTATAACAAGTTGGTAGAGTTCGTGCCTGCGGACGAGCAGGAGTACGAGGAGATCATCGAGGAGTACGAGGAGGAGATTCTCGTATAGGAGGGAGCCCCGGAGCCATCAGTTGCTGACTTTGTTGACACCCCGCCTGCCCAATGCAAGCTCCGGTGCATAACCCTTATTTTGAATAATCACTGGATATATGATATGCATTTACGTTACAGGTATTTTATGGAAGCTACATGCATAGATATACCTACATATGAGTCCTACTAGCATAGGTCGAGTAGCTGTTATGCTTAGAATTTCGATAGCGTGAGTAACCTGCCGTTACTCACAATATGTGATTATTATTATCACTCATGATAAAATGGTGAAAGAAAAAATAGAGACCGGGCATGGATATGGTTTGGGTATTGATGTGTGTAAGAGGTTGTGTTCTGTGGCCAACGAGGCATATCTTGGTTACACTGTTTTCCTGTCTGTGTCGATTAAGGACCGGCTATCGTATTGGGTTCTAGGCAAGTCACATACTTATTATCCCGAATATATACTTGTGTATGGGCGTAGGTAAGACTTGTTGCTCTCTTGTCGTGGGTTCCGACTTTTTCCGGATCGACTGATTGGAGGCGGAGATGGTGGAGGTCTAAGCACCGCATTGAGTCCGAGATTTAGGAGCGGGGGCTTGGAGTCCAAGTTAGGACGGAGACCTAGACCCCGTGACAGAAGAGTGGTGAGTTGGTCCTGCTTGTGCCTGGGGTATAAGCGGGGCGTGTGTTTCGGGGTACCTAGCTGGGCACATTGATTCGCGAATCGTCGGCGATCCGGTACGGCTTGTCTACAGTCTAGCACCACAGTAAGAACTGAAAGATGAAAGATGGTGAAATGAAACTGTTTGCTCATCTCATGCTTGAAAATAGAACATATGCTTACATAGAATGACTATATAATAAAATAATCTTAACTGCTAATAATAAACATACATAAGGATGTGCTATTAGTATTGCTTTATATAAAAAGGAACCTAGCAAATCATAAAGCTTATCATATTCATTTGAGTTGAAAAATTATTCTCATTAGTCGGATAAGTCTTGCGAGTACGTTGTGTACTCAGAGTTTATTTACCTCTGTTGCAGGTGCAACTTGATGAGTAGCCATTGTGTGAAGGATTCTTCTGGTGGGCACAGACGGATCCTTATATATTATCGATAGATATTTCTTTCATTCCGCTGTTTAATTTCCGCACTCTGAATTGGTTCTGTAATAATGTGTTCCTATGAACTCTGGATGTACGAAATAGATTAAGTAATGTAAACTCGTTCTCATTATTACATTCTTAGGGTAAAATATGGATTATTCAGGCTTCTCCTTAAATGTGCTCAACAAAATTCGTCTGATGTAGCTCGCTCTTAAAATGCTTAGTGTTTAACAGAAAACCAACGCCTCCGTAATTGCGTTATTTGGGCGGTAGCCATCCCGCGATTCAGATCGCGCCCCGTCCCGTGCCGGTGCCGGCCATTGCAGACGTGACCGGATTGCGTCGCCTACGCTGCCGTCAACGAAACAGAATCCCGCGGTGACAACTGACAACTTAACAGGTCCCGCGAACCCCGTAATGACGTTCTAGTGATGGGATTAGCACGGTCGAACGGAGCGGGGGTTAATTGCGGTGCACGCATCCGGCGGAGGTGAGCGCTTCCCGAGCCCCGACTCCTCCTCCTTCGTACCTCCCCCCCCCTTCCAACTCTGCCCTTCCCCCGCCCGCCCGCCCGTCGCTTGCCCCACTCCCCTTGCTTCCGTGGCGCCCACGCCGCGCACGCGTGCTTGTCTCCCCCTCGCCTCGCCTGGACTCGTCCCCGCCGCCCTCCCGCGTCGCGGCGCAAGAGGTAACGCTCGCGTACCATTCTTCCGTTGTTGGGGGGCAATCGCGATTCGCGCTCCTAGCGCGGCGGTCGATTACCCGGTTGGTTCCGCGCCCAGATCCGCCGCGGCTGCGCTTCCGTTCCCTGTCGCGTGCGTAGGCCTCCTCGCCTCTCCCTCCCGGGCTGTATGTATGGGGTGGGGATGGAGATCCGTCCGGGCCGGGATAGGGTAGGATTTCCGTTTCCTCTCGCTGGTGAGGAAGGGAGCTTCCCCCGATGGATGTGCCCTCCGTCCATTCCAAATCCAATTCCCCCTAGTTTCTGGGGAATTTTCGTTTGCCGTGCGGCGGCGTAGCTATTAGCGTTAGCTTGTCGTTTCCAACTTCTTTGGGGGCAACATCCTGAACCGCAGTGGGCAAGGCCGCAACGACGCCTCGCCTCGCCTTTGGTTACAAACCCTTCAGCTATGCATTATGCCTTTTCCTGCGCTACTGACGAATTCAGTGCTAAAAATTTATCTTAGCTATAAGCTCTGGCGATCTATAACCTGATAACCTGATGCTTCTTTGCTTGTTTAGCAGATTACACTTAATTCAAGTTTTTCTTTTTCTTTGGCTGCTATTATGTTTCCTACTTGCTGCAGGACACCCTGAATTTCGTCAGTGGCGAGTGGCGGTGACAGCTGAATCTCTGTGGTTCAAAGGCGATTGATTTGGGTTCACTGACGCCTAATGAGCTCCCAAGTCTCCACATCACGGGGTCTTCACCCCCCGGGCAAGCTTGGGACATTTGAGTCGTCCCATTCCTGGCCACTGCCAGCGCCTACAGCCCAGCCCGAAGCGGGCCGCGGTGATGACCAGGAGGTCAGGCTGTTGTCGGTTGCCTGGAACCAGGATTGTGGATGCTTCGCTGCTGGTACCAGCAACGGGTTCAGGATATTTAACTGCGAGCCTTTCAAGGAGACTTTCAGGAGGGACCTTAAGAGCGGCGGGTTCGGCATTATCGAGATGCTGTTCCGTTGCAACATCCTTGCTCTTGTAGGCGGCGGCTCCAATGTGCAGTACCCGCCAAACAAGGTGATGATCTGGGACGATCACCAGAGCCGTTGCATTGGAGAGTTCGCCTTCCGCTCTGATGTCCGGGCTGTAAAATTGGCAAAGGACTACATTGTGATTGTCCTCGAGCGCAAGATATTCGTCTACAACTTCACCGATTTGAAGCTGCTCTACCAGATTGACACCCTGTCAAATCCCAAGGGACTTTGCTGCCTCTCTCATCATTCCAACACTTCAGTGTTGGCCTGCCCTGGGGTGCACCAGGGGCATGTTCGCGTGGAGCATTTCGGGCTGAAGATGGCGAAGACAATCCCAGCTCATGATTCACACATCTCTTGCATGTCACTGACAATGGATGGTCTTCTACTGGCAACTGCAAGCACGAAGGGCACTTTGATCAGAATATTCAACACAATGGATGGCACTCGCCTACAAGAGGTGAGCATAATTTCTTTTGCTCTCTAGATTTGTATCTTTGGTGATCCTTTTCTTTTGTTGCATTGCATGACATCCTCCTTTGTGAATAAAAAGCATGGTCTTCTTCTTTGTTCTGTTGCCTCTTCGGTTACGATGTCATAATAATTCATAAATATTAGGATGTATGCATAATGATCTAAAATCTAAATGACATGTAGGTACGCAGAGGGCTTGACAAAGCAGAAATATATAGCATTGCGTTGTCACCCAACGTGCAGTGGTTGGCAGTGTCCAGCGACAAAGGGACTGTTCATATTTTCTCTCTGAGAGTCAGAGTTGCTGGGGAGGATGCAAGCAATGAGCAACACGCTCTTGAACGAATGGATCACCAGAACTCTTCCAGTTCTATTGATCCTCTTATTCAGGCGAACACTGGATCCAATGCGAGTTCATCACTGTCTTTTATGAGAGGTACACATGCTACTCCGGTTTGCACCCATTCTTGTTTGATCTGTTCTGCATCTCACTACTGGAAGTCATGCCATTAAGCTTACTATTGTTGTGAAGTTAATTAGATGAGATGTATATCAGTGCGATACCTATGGAATTGTCTATCTGGAAGTTATTTTGAACCTAATTGATGGCTATTTTCTTCACTTCCAGTCACAAGGATCTTAGATGATTTATTTTGGTTTCATTGTCCATTGGCGCCATGCATTCTCGTGATCTTCTAGACTTCTGACCTGAGTACCTGCAATTGTTTTCTTCCTGGTATTGGGGTCAGTTTTATGGAGTTCAGTTCATATGTTGATTGTTTGTGATATCATTGCAATGACCTCAACATTTCCCTCTGATATTGTTTAGTCACATTATGGAACTGGCAGGCATGTGCTCATGGGAGCATACGCTCTCTTGCCTGCTTTCTCAATTATTGAAACATAAAGTTTGTTTGCTAGCATATGGCTTGAGGTGATCCACTCATCCAGTAAAAGAGCCATTCTGAACTCCCAAGTTAGCTAACAGAAGACCACTGGCTCTAAATTTTTCTATCTCTTGGAAGTGTACAAGTACTAAGCAATTAACTGAGTAGTGTGCAAGTATTTAGGATTCACACAAAACATAAAATCATGCAACCTCCTATTCTGCTATTTTAGTATGAAAAAATTAAGCAAGCTTCAAGCTACAAGCTATTTTCTAGCAGCTAAACTCGTATATAACCATACATCTTGTTAAACCTAATGAATTATTTGCATGTTAGCCAAATCCTTCCATAAAAAAAAGGGCGTACCCAGTGCAGAGAGCTCCCGCTCTGTGCGGGGTCTGGGGAAGGGTGTCAGTGGCAAGCCTTACCCTCGCCTGTGCAATGCGAGGAGACCGCGACTCGAACCCGGGACCTTCCGGTCACAGGCGGCAAGACTCTACCGCTTGCACCAGGCCCGCCCTTCAGCCAAATCCTTCCATCTCATTTTATAATATTTAGAGAGTATTGGGCTGGGTTTCTCAAGGAATTCAAGTTACTAAGTTCTCTCTGCTGATTTTTCTTCAGGGATCCTGCCGAAGTATTTCAGTTCAGAGTGGTCATTTGCTCAGTTCCATTTACCAGAAGTCACTCGTTACATAGTAGCCTTTGGTGCCCAGAATACTGTGATGATGGTTGGCCTGGATGGCAGGTACTTACCTTAGCAAATTAAATTTTATAATTTCAAGGTTTTACTTTCAGCAAATTTGGAATATCTACATTTTTAGTGCTGGTTGTGAGCAAATTTTTTTTCCTCACCTGAGTTCGTTCTTGCAAACTGAACATAAATGAAATATAAACTGTGGTGCCTTCTCTGCTCTGGATCAAGACATTATTGGCCTTGTCACCCTCATTATTGCATGTCCTGTTTGAGCCACTGGGGTCATACTGGAGCCCTTGTTATTCATCGAATCGATCCTTTGGGCAACCGATGTTCATTGAACAGGTGTATTTATTGAGTCATGTGGTAGTTGCATTTCAGAATGCCACAGCAATAGCCTGTTATTTATAGCTATGAAAAATACATCAGCCAGTGGAAAGTCATGCCTAGAACAGTTTCATGTTGATTCTTGGGACAGTTGATTTTGCAGATTGATTCTTGGAATAGTTTCAGTTAGTTGTAGGGTTGATTTGGCAGAGTCTGTTCCTATCTAGCGAGTGCCACCATCTCCCAAGCATCACTTGTTTCAATAATCAAGTTTCTATCTCCAGCTTCTACAGGTGCAGCTTTGACCAAGTGAATGGAGGGCAGATGTTGCAGAAGGAATATTTCCGGTTTCTGAAGTCCGACAGCCCACCTTTCAGGACCACAGCCGCTTGACCTGCATGATGATCATCCCACCTTGTAAATACCGAAGGTTGTGCCCGGTCCATTGTACATATCATCTTCTCGCCGGCTAAGTTATAGGCAGCCGGAATAAGGAGAGCTGGCTGTTGGATCGCAACCTACAGGATTTCAACGTTCAGATTTCTGAAGCGGTTGGTGTCCCATCCAAATTGCAAGCATTATTTGCCGTTTCTCGTCTTCAAATGAGAACACCCATTGGTACATATAACATAAAAGTTCAATAACGAATTTGACCATGTGGCATTGTGCGTCAGCGAGTCCGTGTAACAAACCTCAGATTTGTTCTTGCCTGTGGCTTATTATTGATCTTGATGACTGTTACGTGCTACCGTAGTGTGGAAGTGCAACCAGGTTCTGCATGTTCTGAGTTTGCGTTGCTGGTAGGTATATGATTAACATGCGCCATCTGTTTGTTTGATTGTTTAATACGCGTTGCTCCAGGCTGACCATGATTTGGATCTAACAAGCTCCTGATTGCATGAAGGGCCTTCTTATATACTCTTCCTGTCAGCAATAGTGATCAGATAAGATTGTCTTTGCGGCCTGACGTTGCTAGCTACATTTTCAACGATTTGAGAAACTTTTTTGAATATATATGCAAGTCATTGGCTTGTTAATGCACGAAATGCAAATAAGGCCCTCTTCAGGGCTTGGGCTTCTCAGGAATGGGGAAGCCAGAAAAGGGCACATTTTGATGGCTTCGGCTTCATTGTTTTTTGATTTAAAAGAAGCCCTTCTCGCTTGTATGTACTCGTTTGGCAGGGTTTTTAATTAAGTCAGTGGAGAAGCCCCTACAAAAGGCATGCCAAAGAGGCTCTAATATTAAAAAAAAGGAAAGAAAAAAGCACGTCCCTATATAAAAGATAAAGCACACTGTTCCCTGATCGTTGTTACCGCAGATTTTCATGAAAACAACATTTGACCTGACCCAGTTGCTCTTGGCCGGCCTGTCGTTGTTCACGGGCAGCCCATTCGGCATCCAGCAGCCACGTCCACCTCCAGCGGTTGCGTGTTAATTTCCCGTTATCCCGTCCCGTCGCTACCGCCCGCTCTCCTCCAGATGTGCTGATGCCCGCTGGGTATTATTGGCTGCCAAATCACGTATAGACCCAGTCACCCAGATGTGAGGCCAAGAGCTCGCCGGCACGGTCCACGGGCAAACGTTTTATTTTATCATAATTTTGAGGGCAGCAACATTGAACAGTCATCAGATGCAGCTAAGAAACTGACTGGGACAGTGACTTGTAGATGCAACCTCGCATCACATCCCTAGAAGATGAAGATGCGGCAAGATCGAAGGGAGGATTACGGGACAAGCGACGCATATATATATATATATATATATATATATATATATATATATATATATATATATATATATATATATATATATATATATATATATATATAGACATGTGGAGAGTTCCGAAGCTTCTGCTGCGCCTGGGGATCGGATGCCAGCTCTCTTCTCTCCATCACGAGGCACACTTTGGCACTTGTTTACTGCTGATGAAGCGCTGACTCTGATGATGATCATATCAGCCACATGATCCTACGCGCACACAGCCTACCTATATATACTCCTATCTATGTAAGTGGCGTCACTGATGTATGTTTAGTCTAATTCAACTCTCAGGCACTTAGCTATGGTAGTTTAAGACCCCCTCCCTTATCTCTTCTCCACGCAAAAAAAAAGTATGGTTTGATGATCATACACTATCCACTAAGTAGAGAAACGACCTTTGACCCCACCTCAAAATTTGGTTTTAGTCCCGGTATTTTTCGCGCCAGGGATTAGAGAGACCTTTAGTCCCGGTTTGTAGCTTCAACCGGGACTAAAGGTCCCTGCCCAACGGCCATCATGGCAAGGCTTTTCTGCTGAGGGGACCTTTAGTTTTTAGCTACCACGGGACTAAAGGTTAACTTTATTCGGTTGGTCCCTTCAACCGGGAGGAGTAAAAGTCTATTTTTAATTTGGAGGCTCCGTCAGGGACTAGAAATGGACCTTTAATCCCGTTCTTTGTCTCCAACCGGACCTCAGATTCCCCTCCTATATAGCCCTTTTCTTCCTCCCCGAGCCCGAGCCACTTCGAGCTCAGTGTTTTCTTGCTTCATCGCCGGTCTCTCTTTTTTCTCATCGCTGGTAATCACAAGATTTTCTTCGGCCTTGTTTAGATTGCAAGTTTTTTCACTCTCTCTTCATCACATCAAATCTTTAGACACATGTATGGAGTATTAAATGTTTTCTTGTTTGATTGTAAATTACGAGCTTAATCTTTTTCTTCTCATGATTGGACAATAATTGTCAAATACAACGAAAGTAATCACAAGATTGATTTCTAACTAGGATCTAAACAATCTTGATTCTTCATCGATTCTTAAAGTTATAAAGGTTACCAACTTTATACTCTCATGTTTCATCAGTAGCATATCTCATTTTATGGATTAGATATATGTGGTTTTTTATGGTAGATTTTTTTTTATTTGTAAGACATTTAACCTCAAAATCACTTTAAAGTTTGCATATTTGGATGAAGGAAAAGGTTAAAGTAGTTATTCAAAACTAGTATTCAGCTTTCATTTCTAGCATGCATAGCAAACTTCATGGTTTAGAGATATAGAGAATTTTAGAGTTTTTTTAATTTTATTTGTTTATAAAATGAGAAATTTATATTATATTAAAAATGAGTATAGAGAGTAGATGGCAACTGCTTCTAGGTCCTCGGCCTCTCATCGGGTTCCAAAGCGAATGAGGTCGGACCTCCCTCTCATTGCATGCGGCAAGTGTGAGGAGAAGATTGTGATGGAGTACCAGGTGAGGAAGGAGTGTCCCAACAAGGGTCGTATCTTCTACAAGTGTCCGGATCGCAATGTGAGTTATTTTATCGCATTTGATGATTATGGTTAATTTATACTTATTTTCATGATGATTATGATTAAAGTTCTAATTTTTTGTTTTAATTTCAGTGGGATGGCACTGGATGTTTTGGCTGGTACTGGGAGGAAGAGTATGTTGAACACGTGCAAAACTCTCTTGCACAGGCGGCTATGGCGGCTGATGAGGCAGTGATCCTACGGAAGAAGCCCATAGATGTTGAACAAATGCATGATCTGTCTGTTTTAGTTGGGATTGGTCGCGAAATCCTTATGCTGTTGAAGTGCATTTTAGCTTTAGTTTTTTTATTGGTAGTTGGGATTGTCTACATTATAGTGAGACTTTCATAAATTAATACCTTGTGTGGTGGCATGCATGTCGTATAATTAACTAATTATATTCTAGGTTTTAATATGGTATGTATGTCATGTAATGCAGATGAGCCGGTATTGGATATACAATACTGATCGCCGCTCCCAAGAGTTCATTGAGGGCGTGCATTCTTTCTTACGTGTGGCCGAGGCAAACAAACGCGATGGTTTCATGTGCTGCCCATGTGCCATATGTAAGAATTTGAAGGAATATGCTAGCTCAATGAGTCTTCATTCACACTTGTTGAAGTCGGGTTTCATGCCAAACTATATTTGTTGGACGAAGCACGGAGAAACCGGGGTTGTAATAAAAGAAGGTGAAGAAGAACAATGGGACGATGATGACATTATTGCTGAATATGGTGCCTTCAATGATACTGCAATGGGGGAAGCTGAAGAAGAGGTAGTGGCAGAAGATGAGCCCGTTGATGATCTTGGTCAGGCCATTCGTGACGCACAAAGAGAATACGAAAGTGAAAAGGAGAAGATCAAGTTCGAGCGCATGCTAGAGGATCACAAGAAATTGCTATACCCAACTTGTAATGCGGGACAGAAAAAGTTGGGTACCACACTGGAATTGCTGCAATGGAAGGCAAAGAATGGTGTATCTAACAAGGGATTTGGGGAGTTACTGAAAATCTAAAAGAAGATGCTTTCGAAGGATAACGAATTGCTCGTCACTACGTACGAAGCAAAACAGGTAGTCTGCCCTTTGAGATTAGAAATCCAGAAGATACATGCATGTCCTAATGACTGCATCCTCTACCATGGTGAGGAGTACGAGAAGTTAGATGCATGCCCGATATGTCATGCATCACGGTATAAGATCAGACGAGATAACCCTGGTGATGTTGAGGGCGAACGTCCTACGAAGAAAATCCCTACCAAGATTATGTGGTATGGTCCTATAATACCACGCTTGAAACGTCTGTTCAGAAATAAAGACCATGCAAAGTTGTTGCGATGGCACAAAGAAGACCGTAAGGTAGACAATATGTTGAGACACCCTACTGATGGGTCCCAGTGGAGAGCAATCGATAAAGAATTCCCAGAGTTTGCAAATGGCGCAAGAAACGTAAGGTTTGCTTTAAGTACGGATGGTATGAATCCTTTCAGGGAGCAGAGCAGTAGTCATAGCACTTGGCCTGTTACTCTATGTATCTACAACCTTCCTCCCTGGTTATGCATGAAGCGTAACTTTATTATGATGCCAGTGCTCATCCAAGGCCCAAGGCAACCTAGCAACGACATCGATGTGTACCTGAGGCCACTAGTTGAAGAACTTCTACTTTTGTAGAATAGACCAGGTGTACGTGTGTGGGATGAGCACAAATAGGAGCACTTTGACCTGCGACCATCGTTGTTCGTAACAATCAATGATTGGCCTGCTCTAAGTAATCTTTCAGGACAATCAAACAAGGGATATAATGCATGCACGCACTGTTTCGATGACATTAAAGATATATTCTTGAAAAAATATCGAAAGGTCGTGTACCTTGGCCATCGTCGATTTCTTCCTGCGAATCACCCCCTAAAAAAGAAAGGCAAGCATTTTAAAGGT